TGACCCCCAACCACTACTCTACTCTGCACAGGCTGTTCTGGAGAAACGTCCACACCAGACCCCAGAGCTGTGGTTGATCTGGAGTGCAAGTGGGTCCAACTTCCGGAAGGGTCCAGATTTGACTGGGATTAAGAACAGCAGTGACACAGGGTGAGAGAGCAGGAAAGGGGCCCCCCGGGTGCAAAGCGATTCCTAAAGAATCCCAAATCAGGTCGCTTAAGCTAGGAGTCACCTGGGCCTGGGAGAAAGTCAAGGGAGGGTGGTCATGAGGCCAAGACCGAGTCTGGGTGTGAGTTTGTGAGCCCAGGTGTGGCCAGCCTACAGATCCCCCTTTAGAAGCTTCTGTTTTCAAGAGAAACCAGGTTAGGGATGCTTTCTGCGTGGTAGTCTCTAGCTCTGGAGATCTGCCCATCCTCCCCACATCTCCCCAGCTCTCCCAGGCTAGCTCTAGAGCTAAGTGTCAAAATGAGGACCTCTCCCTGCAGTCTGGACAGAAGAGAGGTCTCCAGTGGGTGTCTCCCCCACTTGGTGCCCCCTGACACCCAGGGAGCTTTTGCTGAGCGCAAGCTGCTGCTTCTCCAGCTCTCCCCAGGACCCCAGAGAGGCGGTGCTGCTTGCTGCCCTGTAGCCCTCCTCAGCTGAGCCTCCCTGGGCACCCAGCCGCCCACCAGGCTCTCCGTGGCACCTGGCAGGGCCTCTGGGGAGCTGGGGGACCCTTGCCGGCCTGGGACAAGGAGAGGTGTGAGGCCTGGAGTGCAGGAGCCGGAGCGTGGGCACCTCTGCTCCCCACCAGCTTCAGCCTCTCCCAGGCTTGCCACTGCTGGGTTTAACCCCTTCCTTCTGGGGTTACCCGGCCTGAAGACCCTGACCCCAGGCCCAGCCTCCACAACCCCGGGCCCCAAGTTCGCCTGCTGGGTCTGTAGGCCCCTGCTTTCCTTGGAAGTGAGCACAGACACGCTCCCTCCACCCGCTGCCCCACCCGACAACGCACCCCCTGCTCCCCGTGCCCCTTCTCTGCGGCCTTTGTCTGCAGGCTGGGGGAGCTGCAGCAGCACCAAGGGTGGCTCTCCGTCAGGCTGGAGGGGGGTCTCCCTGCTGGGCCCCACTTCCCTGGCCCTGCCCAGGGCCAGGCGGCACAGAGCCGGCTCCCGGCGGGGGGGGGGGGGGGGGGGGGGGGGGGGGGGGGATGGAGGGGCGCCAGGGGGGTGGGCGGTGCTCCCCGCCTGATTTTTGTTGGGGTGGAAGTCTTGCTCTTTGGAATTGTTGGGCGTCTCTACCAGCAGAGTGGCAGTGACCCCCGCGACCAAACGCTGCCCTCACTGCGTTCATTTTCCCCCCGAGTGTCCCCACACCCACTTAGACAAGTGTGGGAAGTGAGGAGACAACGGAGCTGCCGAAAAAGTCACCCTCCTCCAGCCTCGTTTTAAGGAAAAAAAAAAAAAAGGGAGGCTGAATCAGCAGCCAGGCACCCAACGTCCGCAGGAGCGCTCCTGCCCTCCGCAGCCCTGCGCGAGATTTTATTTGTAATACTAGTCTCGCTATTATAAATCCACGTGTCTAGAAGCCATCTTTCCTTTTTGATACTCTTCCAGGTCCTTCTTTGTGCAGATCGCCCGGGAAGTACGGAGATGGTTCTCTGAACGCGGGTGGTTTGCCGACGCTCTCCAGCACCTGCGAGGTTAGGGGTATTCCAGGTTCCGGGGTCCCGGCCTCACTTGACGCTAAGGAGAAACAAACGTCCAGCGGTGGCTCTCCTGGTCGCGCACCGAGAAGCCGACCTTGAGCGCGGCGGCCGCGGCCGTCAGGGTCGGGCAGGAGGGGGAGCGCGGCTCGCCGGACGCAGGGCCGAGCGGCTGCAGGGCTGGCTGGCATCTCCGGGACCCGAGGAGAGATCTGCAAATGCCCACTCCCCCGCACCCCCCAGAAGCAGAGCCAGGGCGGTGTCCCCGATTCGCAGGGGGCGGGGGCTGGGCCTCAAGCATGTTTTCCAAGCTTCCTGAAACAGCTTGTTGCGATGCCCGTGTTGTAAGATTTACAATTCCCTCAATGTGGGCAGCTTCCGCCCAGTTTCTCCTGCCCTCATGGCTGGCCCTTTGTATGGTGCGTACTCTCAAGAGGCGCTCTTTTGGGGAATTATTGTCATGTTTGGGTTGGCTTTGGGTGGCCTGATGCTCTTATTTCTCTCCACATTCCTTTCTTTTTGCCTTCCTCCTCCTCCTGCACCTCCTGCTCCCCTCTCCAAGCCAGTAACTTGGAAATCCGCCTTCTCCCTCAGACCAGCCTGACCCTGCAGGCTGGAGACCTGGTGTCCGCAGGTTACTGCCTACAAACAGGCTAGGTTGCCCGGAGATAATGTGTTGCTTTGCAGAGTTCCTGCTGCAGCCATGAATATGGGTCTGGATTGCAGGAAAGGACACAGCAGAAGTCCAGCACCATGGGCTCACTTAAGGCTAAGGCAATCAGAGGCAAAGTTTCCCAAGAAATTAGAAAATATTTCTCGGGAGACAACCTAATTGATTTTTCATGGGACAGGTGGAGAAATTAACCTGGGATGGCTTTGCAGGAAGCAAATCAGCCCTGGGCCTTCCCTCCACTCCTTCTGAGTTCTGGAGACCCAAAGTAATTTGGACATTCCCTGGCTGGTGATGATTAGGGTTCCTCAGAGTTGGAGGAAAATTTCCCAGAAAACCATAAACAGAAGTCAGTAGGGTGTTCCCACAAACTTTACCAGCCCCATTTTCCTAGGGACAGACAGACTGTGAGGTTTGATTTTTTGAGACCCAGGGAGGAGACCTGGCAGGTATGAACCTAGCCGCCTAGCCGGTAATTTGGCAAGGACCCCTCCAATAGGAGGAAAACGTGGGAGCCGACCCACATTCAGTCCATCTTTAGTGGCCAGGTGACCCGGTCCAGCACCTCCTCCTGTCCTCCATCCAGGCTCCCTTCTGAGGGTTAATTTCCCTGGGAGCAGAACCTTGTAACTGCTGTTTGTCCCCCACCCCCGCCCGCCTGAACCCTGGAACCTGCAGAGAGTAGACAGAGCTGGGTTGGAAAGAGGATAGGACCTGGGTGCAATGGGAGGAGAGCTGAGCCAGGCTAGGGGGAAGCCTTCAACCCGCAAGGTGGCTTGGCGATCACACTGCCAGGAGGGCTGCTTGCCCGGACCTGATCCTGCCTTGCGCAGCCTGGCATGCTCCCCTGGCAGCCCCAGGCCTGGAGCTGCTCTGCAGTGGGCCTCGGCTGCTGAGCACCCCGAAGCCGCCTGGGCTGGCCAGAGCTAGGGCGCCCCAGCTCTCCCTCCTCCCCCCCCTCCCCATCCCTCTTTCCACTGAGGGCAATTTTATTGTGTCAGCGCTCCCAAACCCTTGGAGCGTCCTTGTGGAGGCTTCCTGAAGTATGCAAATTTCCATAAAAATGCGTTTTAAAGGATAGACAGGCAAGCTTAGGGGAACAAGGGTGTTTGGTGGGGTGTCTGCAGCTGGGGGAAGGAGAGAAGAGCAAACAAGAAGGAGCCTAAGGGAAGAGGGGGAAGAGAAGAGGAAACAGAAGTTCAAGTTGGACATCTGACAGCGACTGGAAAGAAAGTTTAGAAAGGGAGAGAGAAAAAAGGAGAGGAGTGGGGAGAAACAAACTGGGGCCCTCACCCCTCCACCCCCTTTTAGATGGCCCCTGCTCTCCCGAGGAACTTGTTTAAAGGATTTTAGGACAAAGAAAATGAGGTGAATGGCCTGGTAGCCCGTCAGTGGGGGTAGAGATGTGGGGGTGGGGCTGGGAGGGTTATCTGAGAAGGGGGGCGGTTGCTCTGGGGTGTTTTCTCTTCGGATGGTTTTGAAGGTTTGGCTGAACCGTCAGCCCGCCTCTCCTTTCCAAAACAGAAGATTCAGTTATAACCCGCCATGCTCCTTTATTTCTTTCCCCCCCACACGGAGCCCCAAATCCTATTCCCGCGCTCTTCGGGATCTACACGCATGTTGCATGAGGATCTGTGTTCCCCGGTGGAATCCTGCCATATGCACTCGCCTCCCTGCTCACGCACACGCACACACATGCACACTTACAATGAGTATCTACAGGAGGAGGGTCCTGCGCGCCAGCTCTGCGTTTAAGACCGGAATCTGCCAGGTTACCAAAGTCAAGTGTAAGTGTCAATGTCCCCATCCACCAGCAAGGAAAGGAGACTACAAAAGTCCCTTTGTATCTCAGCAGCTCATTTAATATTATTTATGCATTTTTGTGCAAGGAATTGTGGGATTTTTCCCCATGGTAAACAATATGGAAATGTTAAAAATAGCCATCTTCCAGCGCGTGTCCACGTAGGCACACCAGGGTGACCTGACCGGGCTGTCGCGGGGTTTCTCGGCTTCCCGAACCGAGGGCGTTGGGGAAAGCGCGAGCGAGCGAGGAAACACGGCCCCGGGCTCGCTGGGGCCGGGGCTCCGGCACGCGGAGCCCGAGGACGCGGTCGCTTTAAGGGGGGGAGGGGCGGCGGCGGCGGGGGAGGGGCGGCGGGAGGCTCCTGTCACCCAGCGGCCGCCGGCGCGTCACGTGGGCGCGCGGCGCTGCGGCCATTGGCCCGAGGCACGTGTCCAGGAGACCGGCCCGCGACGTCACTCGAGGGGGCTCTGTTAAAAATAAGAACAAAAATCCAGAGTGAAAGTGTCTCAGGTTGCGCCAAGTGGCCTGGAAGCCGCCCGAGCCCGCGCGGAGGCCGAGGCGGCGAGGGCGCGCACACGGCGAGGGAGCGCGGGCGGCCAGCCCGGCCCGGCCCGGCCCGCGCCTCCCGCCGCTCACCCATGCGACTCGGGCCGCGGGGCTCGGCGGGGCTCGGCGGGGGCGCGGCCGCGCGCCGGTGGGGCGCCCCGGCCCGCAGCGGGGCGGCGGCCGAGCGCAGCGCGGGCCCGCGGGCCTCCATGTGCGTGCTGGCGGCGGCGGGCGCGCTGACCGCTCGCGCCCCGCACCCTCGAGGGCCGGCCGGGGCTCGCGGGCGGGGGCGGCCGGGCGGCGGCGGCGGCCGGAGCGGGCCCGGGCGGGCGTGAGCGCGGGGGAGCGCGCTGCCTGCATGCGCGCAGCTCCAGCCCCGGGCGGCGGCGGCGGCGGCGGCAGGACGCGCCGGAGCGCAAGGCAGCCGGACGCGGAGAGGAGCGCGGAGCCCGAGACGAGCCCCGGGGCCCCGCCGCACCATTGTGACTGCCTAGCGCCCGGGCGCGCGGCAAAGACGAGGACCCGACTCTTTTGAATCTCCCGGCGTCTGGGCGCGGGGAGACTCTTGGTATTTTCTCATTCAACTCGTGGACTGGAACGTGGCTCCGCTCCCAACGCGGCCGGTGACTGGTCGGACCCCAGCCCTGGCCTCGGCCGCCGCGCACGCCCTCGGAAGACTCGGCGGGGTAGGAGCGCGAGCCGGCCGCGAGTGTCTCTGTGCGCACCACGGGCGGGCCGAGGGCTGATTGGAGCGGGGGGGGTCCCCGGAGAACCCATTTGGGATTTGTTGTGAACAGCATGGAGGAGAATGACCCCAAGCCCAGCGAAGCGGCGGCGGCGGAGGGGCAGCGACAGCCGGAATCCAGCCCCAGTGGCGGCTCGGGCGGCGGCAGCAGCCCGGGCGACGCGGACACTGGCCGCCGGCGGGCTCTGATGCTGCCCGCGGTCCTGCAGGCGCCGGGCAACCACCAGCACCCGCACCGCATCACCAACTTCTTCATCGACAACATCCTGCGGCCGGAGTTCGGCCGGAGAAAGGACACGGGGACGTGCTGTGCCGGCGCGGGAGGAGGAAGAGGCGGCGGAGCCGGCGGGGAAGGCGGCGCGGGCGGCGCGGAAGGAGGCGGCGGCGCGGGCGGCGCCGAACAGCTCCTGGGGTCGGGCCGAGAGGCCCGGCAGAACGCGCCCAGTGCGCCCGGTGCGGGCGGGCCACTGCCCGGCGGCGGCGGCGGCGGCGGCGGCGGCGACGACTCTCCGGGCGACGGGGAAGGCGGCCCCAAGGCGCTCTCGCTGCACGGCGGCGCCAAGAAAGGCGGCGACGCCGGGGGCCCCCTGGACGGGGCGCTCAAGGCCCGCGCCTTGGGCGGCGGCGACTTATCGGTGAGCTCGGACTCGGACAGCTCGCAGGCCAGCGCCAACCTGGGCGCGCAGCCCATGCTTTGGCCGGCCTGGGTCTACTGCACGCGCTACTCGGACCGGCCTTCTTCAGGTGAGCCCGCCGCGGGGAGGCCCGCGGGGTTGCGGGGCGGCGCTGGCGCGGGAACTTAGCCGGAGGAAGGGAACACCAGGACACCACCCCCCCACCACCCCCAACACACACAAAGACACGCAAACAGGGACATTGTGTGCTGCAGACGCTGGCCCGGGCAGCGGCCAGGAGGAGAGGGGGCACGATTGATTCGCAGGGGGGTACAGATTTCTTAGGAAAGCAGAAGCGACAGGACCTTCCCACTCTATCTTGTCTTTTGGGGCCACTCCCCAAAGTCCCTAGCCCACCCCTCCCCTGGCTGGAGTTTATTTGGTGAGACCGGGGGTGGCTGGATCTGGCACTCTTAACTCTTTCTCTGTCCTTCCAACTCAGTCCAGACCCAGGACCCATGCCCAACTCCCCCCGCCCCCCCCCCCCCCCCCGCGACCTAGACTCATCCTACGACCCAGTTATCCCAGATGAAGCCAGGGAAGAAAGAGCAAGACTCCTCCTGGCTCTTCCTTCCACCCTTCGCCTGGGCTGAGAAGGGAGGAGTGGGGGGGATAGAGATAGGGAAGGGATGGAAACAGAGGGGCCCTTCGCCCTGTTTTAGTTGTCTGATCACACGTTGGGGAAGCTCAGCACCCATCTTGCACACTGCTCCGAGGAGGGAGGCCTGCAGTCCCCCAAAGAAAGGACCTTCTCCCAGAGGTTTCCTGGGGCAGCTCTCAGGGAGGAAAGAAGCAGATTGCCGCGGGAGGGTGGGTGGAGGGGCCCGCGGGTGTGTGCAGGGGTTCTGGGTGTATTTTTCATAGATCTGGATTTTTAAAAGCTAAATGCATGTCCTTGTAGCTATCATCAGCTGCATGAAATGGGGGTCTGCGGCTGCGAACCGCCATTAGGAGGGGACTCCATTTGTCCCTGAGCCGGCAGCCCAGACCGGACCCCGCTGCCCCCCCACCCCTCAACTGTTTTTGCGGGGGTTGTTTACCCAAATCACAGCATAACTGAGTCTCCCCTTGGCCGCCTTCCCGCAGAAATGTGTGTGTATATTTCTGATGAAATCCACATTTGTCCAGCTAGATCTGAAATTTGCTCCATTGTTCTCGCCTCCCTCCTTTGTTAATATTTAATTAACATATAGGCTCACAATGCGGCCAGCGAGGAGCCTCGGCCGGGCTTTGTGCAGCGGCGGAGTCGCGGCCGCGCCAGGCCCCGGTGGCCCGAGGGAGCCCCGCAGCCCGGCCGGGCCCCAGTCGCTGGTCTTCCTGGACTTAAAAAAAACAAAACAAAACAAAACAAAAAAAAACCAGAAAACCATAACGTAACATTTGTGTTTCTTGGCCTTTTAGAAAGAAGCAAGGCAAAGAGTTTTCTTTGCCGAGGTTTGCTTCTGTTTCTGCGACTCTCAAGTGTTTACGTTTTGAAAGAAAATGGAAGAAAGAGAACTAAAAATTCTGTTTTTAGGGAGATTTTCTTTCCGCAAAATGGTGTGTATCTTTTTATGGGCTGGTTCGTGTGTGCAAGAGCCCCAGGACCAGAGGAGTTTGGAGTGTAGGAAGCGTGCTTCCCCGGGACAGTGGAGACGCAGAACGGGCTCCCGGAGCACGAGGCCGCGGTCGGGTCCGAGCAGGTGCGGGGCCTGGCGAGGCCTCCCCGAGCCACCCGCTAACCCTCCGCGCGCCCCGGCAGCCTCTCGATCGAAGCCCGCCCGCCGGCGCGGAACCGGCGCCCTTGGCGTGTGCGTGGCGGTGGCGGTGGGTGTGCGCGCGCGGGGTAGGTGTGTGCGCGGGGGCGCGGGTGTGAGTGTGGCTTTGCTCTAGAATCTAAAAGGCGGGGAGTTTGAGCCGACCGGCCCTTGGCGCCCCCTCGCCGGCACCCACAGCCCCTCTACCGGAGTTTGCCTCCCCGAGAGCGCACGGCTGGGTAGGCGGGCAGGGAGTTCTCAGCGCCCGCTGGGTCTCGGGACCAGCCCGGACCCCTGGCTCGCGCGCCCCCCCGGCGCACTCTGCCTTCCCCACTCTCCCGGCTCTCGGGTCGGGTGCACTGGCAGCCTCCGGCGAGATCCCTCCGCCGCTGCTGCGCAGGGCGGCGTGGCTGTCCCCTGGCCCTGCAGGGTGGCACCGGGCGGAGACCTGGGGGGCTCTGGCTGCTTGAGGGAGCCGGCAGGGGTCCAGCCTCCCGCCGCCGGCGTCTGGGAAGGAGCTGGGGCCGGAGCTCCCCAAAGTTGGTTCACTTCACAGAGTAAGAAACCCACACGTGCAGCCCAGCCTTCCTCCCCTAATGGCCTTTGCCATCTCTTCCCTCAAAGACACCCTTGTGGGGCTGAACTTCTTGACATCAACAAAAAGAAAGCGCTTGGCCCTCCTTTCTGCTCCCCTCACTCAGGCCACTTCAGATGGCGGGTTCCTAGGAGCCTTGCCACCACCTGCCCCAAACCAACCTCAAGTGGTGCAGGGGTTGTCCCAGCGGGAGGAGCCCAGGCGGGGGTCAGAAGTGTGAACCCTCTGCACAAGGTCAGCTGGGTTCCTCTTCCACCTCCAGTGAGGCAGCCCCAGTCTGGGGCAACCAGGTTCCCTCTCCTGCACTGGGAGACTGAAGGGGAGGTGGCAGGGAGTGGCTCAGTGCTCCTTCCCCACCCAGGAAAGGATGCGTGCGCTCCCTCCCCTCCAGGAGAGAAACAATGAACTTGGGCCCACTAGGCCAGGTAGGGGAGGCAGAAAGGGGGCTAGGGTGGAGGCAGATCCATGGGCTTGTCCTGTTCTCTGGATGCACCTGCCCCCTGACTCCCACCGCCCCTGGCACCTGACGGTATCCCCTGTGAGCATCCTGTGGGCATCCTGTCACTGTTCCTGGGCTCCCGCTGTTGCTACTCTGGCTGCCCCGCCCCTCCCCAACCTTTCCTCTTGCCTCTCCTGTGCCCCCCTGCCCTTACGCCTGGACAGAAAGGGACAGAAAAGGCCACGCTAGGAAGTTTGGGGTTTCTGCTTTCCTGCAGGAGTTTTCCTTTTATCTCGAGGCCCTTCTTTCTTCTTTTTAATCTTAAGTAAACTCTGTGCCACATGTGGGGCTCGAACTCTGACCCCTGAGATCAAGCATTGCATGCTCCTCCAACTGAGCCAGCCAGGTGCCCCTGGAGACCTTTCCACTAAGCCTGCTCTCTACCCCCCACTCACCCTCTTACACCCCGATGTCTTCGGCCTGGCTTCTGGCTTTCCAGGGGTAGGTCCTGGAGGCCGGGTGGGAGAAAGCTCAGTCCCCAGTGTGCAGCCGCACTGGGCACTTTCCTCCCGGGTCTCTGTGGCCTGAGTTGGCAGACAGGCCTGGAGCCCTCCTAACCCTGTGTTCTGTCCCCGTGCCTGCCCAGGTCCCAGGTCTCGCAAACCAAAGAAGAAGAACCCCAACAAAGAAGACAAGCGGCCCCGCACGGCCTTCACGGCCGAGCAGCTGCAGAGGCTCAAGGCCGAGTTCCAGACCAACAGGTACCTGACCGAGCAGCGCCGCCAGAGCCTGGCGCAGGAGCTCAGCCTCAACGAGTCGCAGATCAAGATTTGGTTCCAGAACAAGCGCGCCAAGATCAAGAAGGCCACGGGCAATAAGAACACGCTGGCCGTGCACCTCATGGCGCAGGGTCTGTACAACCACTCGACGACCGCCAAGGAGGGCAAGTCGGACAGCGAGTAGGGCGGGCGGGCGCCGGGAGTCTGGTCTCGGTCCGTGCTGAACAATGCAATAATTTAAAATCATAAAGGGCCAGTGTGTAAAGATTATACCAGCATTAATAGTGAAAATATCGTGTATTAGCTATGGTTCTGCAATATTCTATGTATATATAATTTACAGGTGGTGTAAAATCCAAAATATCTGACTATAAAATATTTTTTGAGTTTTTCTGTGTTGATGAGATTATGCTAATTTTATGATTTTTTTTTTTTTTTTTTTTTGCGAAGGGGGCTGCTTAGGATTTCATCTTTTCTAATCCCCTAGGCTCCATTGTGGGACATGGGACACTTTTATTTTTTAATTTCAAAAGAAGAAAAAAATTAAAACAACTTGCTGAAGTCCAAAGATTTTTATTGCTGCATTTCACACGACTGTGAACCGAATAAATAGCTCCTACTTGGTCTCTGAGTTCTGCCACTTTGTTTGTGTGGGCTTGGTGAGGACAGCAGGAGGGTCTGCACCCCCAGCCCCGGCCCAGGGAGGGGGGACGGAGGAGGGGGGATGGCAGCGCAGAGGCCCTGGCAGGGCCCGGGGGACCGTTGGGGTCCTGGGAGGAGTGCCGCGCCTTGGTGGCGGTCAGGAGCGCGCCCGGGGCGGTGGGCCCGCAGTGCTGGGCCGCCCAGGCCCCCAGCCTCACACGGCTCCCCTCCTCCTGCCGTCTCTCGGGTTCCTCCTCCTCCTCCCCCTCCTCGCCGAGGCCTGGCAGGCACCTCCATGTGCTTCACTCCGCGTCTGTTGCTGTCCCCTATCCAGCCGCCCGCTGCCAGAGCCAGCTCTCTCGCCTCCAGGCAGGGCACCACTTCAGGGATCCCAGGCCCATGGGCCCAGCATGTGGCCGGAGGCCCGGGGATGGTGGAGCTGCACCTCCTCCTGTCCCCCAGGCCCCGGGAGTCTCCTGCCGCCCCATCAGCTCCCCGGCGGCACTCCGTGGGCCCCAGAAACGGCGGAGGTCTCCTGCCTCCGGGCGCGCAGAGGGCTCTCCAGCGGGAGCTGGTATTTTCTTCCTTTCTTGTTTTTCTTCCCTTCCTTTTTTTCTTTTTTTCTCTTTTTAAGTGGCTGCTTCTGCTTTGGAGAGCATTCTTTCAAGGTACGTGTGTGTGTATACATATCTGTGTAGTGCGTGATCAGACACGCGCAGACGTGTGTGAGTCCACAGTTCCCCAACACGTGGCTACCTTGACTTCTGGAGGAACTCAGAATCCTCCAGGATCGAGAGGAAGGAAGAAAACGTGTAAATAATCATTTCTTATCACTTTTTGTCTTTTCTTGTTTTTTTTTTAATATACATTTTATTTTTTGAAGGTGTGGTACAGTGTAAATTAAATATATTCAATATATCCCCACCAAGTACATATATAAACAAACACATTATCTATATATATAACTCTGCACTGTCTTCTGGTTAGTGTATGGAAAAAGAATCGTGTCCAAATGTCCATCTGCAGCCGGGACAGCCCAGGGGTGGGCCTGTGGCTGAGCCAGACCCATGGCTGAACCCCTGAGGACTGAGGGTGAACGTTTCTCTTTGCCTTAAACCTCTTTATTTCACTGCGATAATAGTTTCACTTTGTACATACTAGTGCAAACCTTTTTAAAAAGGAAACTATAAAAAGAAAAGTTGTAATTTAAAATTCTGTGAAGAACCATCTGCTGCTTAGGAAACTCAATGAAATGATATGCCTTTTTAGCAGGAAGCAAAGTTTTTTGGTTTTTATTTTTTTATTTTATTTTTTTTAGTTTATAAAACATGTGCATTTTACAGTTCCAGTATCAAATATTTATAATCTTATGAGAAATGAATGTTTCTATTTACAACTGTGGTTATCAACATTGTGAACATTCCCCTTGCATTTTTTGTGTGTTTAAATTCTTGAAAGTTACATTAAATAAAAAAAAAAACAACAACGCTTTATTGTAAAATATTGAATGTCCAAGGTGGCATGACTAGTTTTTCTAAGCGTGTTTCTAAGTCCAGCCCAACTGCTCTGGGCATCTTCCCTGTGGTTCAGGTGCTCCTGGCCTTTGCCTCAATCAGAGCAGGGGTGCAACTGTTTACCTTTGCAGCCAGAGGTACAAATTAAAAAAAAAACAAACAAAATAAGACACTTTGAATATCTCCTGTGTGAGCACAGAACAACCAAAATAATTTAAGTACATTTCTTTACCAGCAGGAAGTGTTCAAAAGTATTGTGCTATTTCATTGCATAATTGTAGAAAAATCCTACAGAATGCAACAGGTCTCTGGCCTCCCTACTGTCCCTATGGGAGAGTGAGAGATGCTGTTCCCTTGGGAAGGGCTCTCTTTTTATGTTTTGTTTTTACCCCCCAAAGCAAAGGACATGGACACATCCAGAGACAGAGGTGGGGAAAGGACAGACTTTGCCCGAGCTGACCAGGCGACCAGAAGCATCCATCCAAGTAGTGTTTTGGAGAGGGTGGTGATGGCCAATGTGTCCAGGCAGGATAGCTGAGCGCACCCGGTGTGGAAAAGCACACTGGCTTGGAAAAGATTCCTCTCCCAGTAAAAGAAACTCAGAGACTAATGAGGATCACCTGCTGCCAAAGGAGGCTGGTGCTTTCGGTACTACATCGGCTTCCCAAGTGGAAGCTGGGTCTTGGGGCAGGAGAGGGGCTACTCCCAGGATTTGCAAAGATGCACTGATGGAGAGAGAGCTGGGGTCTCACCACGGAGGCTCTGGAGCCCGAGCTGCCTGGTCTCAGGAGTGCCCCAGGGTCATCGCCAATGGGGTGTGATCATTCAGGCAATCCCAGTGTCTCTTCCCTCCCCCTGCACAATTCTGAGGATTCTTTAGAGTAAACACTAAACAAAAAGGACAGGGACAACTTCTATTACCTGATTGGCCACTCTCTCTTTTTAATAAAAAGACAGTATGGCAACATTAAGCAATCATTCTTATTTTTTAATCTATTCACAAATCGTAACATTGTTGAGGGGCTGTGTACAGTTTTGTGAGGTAATGAGTTCCCCGTCCTTGGAAGAGTGCAAGCAAACATTAAGCCTGCAGTGGCATAAGGAGTTTTTCTTTTTTTGTCTCTAATAGGGGATTGGACTGGATGAACCCCCAGACCCTCAAAACGCTAAGATTCTGGTTTTGCTTCTATGTTTATTACATTTTTAAATTCCGCATGCAATCTAAGTTTGAGACTCATGAAGAGCCACTGTTGCACCAGCCAGCCCCCTCTCTCTTAGTGGCAAGTGGAGACCAGAGCCAGGCCTGCAGGGGAGGCAAGTGTCCTTTCTGAATCCAGAGCCTGGACTCTCCTCGGCTTAACTTAAGGTGCCTCGGATCTGGACCAGGACTGTAGCACCGAGAGCTGGTGGAGCCTCGGGCGGACCCGCCAGACTGCTGCCCCTCCAGAAGGCCAGTTTCATAAATGTTCTTCAGAGGAAAGCCCGTTTATAAAGGAGGCCCTTGCTCCTTCCGGCCAGAGGGCTGCCACCGCCCAGGCCTGTCTGTGTCCCCAGTCCTCCGTAGCCCAGCGAAATCTAGGCGGGGCCTGGGAGCCCGGGTGGGGGAGTATGGACGCGGATTGCCGCGGGGCCTGCTTGAGCAGCGACTCCTGCGGGGGTGCCAGACACCGGACAGAGAGGCCTAGCAGGGCCCCTTGGGGTTCAGAGGGCTTTCCTCTTCCGCTGCCCAAAAAGTGGTCAGAGAAGGAGGGTCCAAACGTCAGGCCGGAGTCAGAATCCGAGGGTCAACACAGGCCTGAGGGTCACCCAGTGTGGACCCGCCATGTGCTTTCTTTAGGGGAAACAAGGAAGGAGCCACGCGGGTGAATCAGAGTAATCTCCAAGAGGACTCCCAACTTTTTTTTTTCCTTGCGTGAACAGGTTAAGTCGATGGGGGCTCCTAGACCTCCTGGCACAGATGTGCCGGGCGCACAGCGCTCAGCTCGCGACAAACACCGGCCACTATATATGCAAATACGCTCGCTGGCCGCCCGCGCTGGCGGGGAGGCCGCGTTCGCTCGCTCTCGCTCGGCGACAAGTCATTCTGTCTCCCGCTGATTTAATATCCGACCTCCGCGGTCTCTGCCTGCCCCGACACTCCCCCAGCGTCCCCGCGACGTCCCGAAACCTGCCGCCGGCCAGGAGGAGCTGCGGCGGCGGGAGGTGCATACAGACTGGCGCCCAAGGGCCAGCGCGCAACGCCGACTGCTCCCTCCACTCCACCGCCGCACCCCGACACCGCCCCACACTCGCTCGGCAGCCCCCGCGCCAGGCCTCGCGGCGGGGCCCCCTTTCCGCGCTTCTCCAGCCCGCGGGGCCGAGGGCGAGGCCTTCCGTAGGCCTCGCGGTAGAGGCGGGTGGGGTGGCGTGGAGCGGGCGGGCCCCGGGCGGGCCCGAGCCTTGCGTCCTCCGGACCCCGCGGGCTGGCAGGCCGGGGAGGCCCCGCGCCCGCGGACACAGGCGCGCGCGTGGGTGCGGCGGCCCGGAGCTCCCGCGCGCCTTGCGTGACCCTGGAGGGTGCGCCCCGCGGCCGCGCCGCGTGAGCCCTGGACACACCATTCGCGTTGTTACTAACTTCAAACGCTTCATTGTACTAATTTCAAACTGCTGCCCGCCCACAGAAAATAAAAGGCCATTCTTGAAATCGCCTGAAATGTAATAATATTCATTTAAAAAGTGGCTCCTAATTGTGAGATTTAATCAAGCGTGATCCGCTGCTGCTTGGCTCCGGCTGGTGAGGCCGACGATGACTGCGTTACTGTTACTGTTTGTTGTTGTTGTTGCTGCTCTTGTTGTTGTTGGTAGCCCGGTGCTCAGGCGCCAGAGTGCCGGCCACTTCTTCAGTTTGGGGATTGGGGGAGCCGCAAGATGGAGGAAGGGGGGCGGAACGACTCCGGAGTCCCGGGGAACAGGTGTGGTCCAAGCTTACTGCCCTTGTCGACCCAGTCCCAGGCCCGTGCAAGGCCTGAGCAACAACTCCGGGCGGAGGTAGGGCTCCCCAGACTCCTAGGCCCTCCATGTCGCCGAGAGACGCCAGGGCCGGTTTTCTGGGATGGGGAACCTTGGGTCCAGAGCCCGGGACACCTCCCCCCTCCATTGGCTGGCCCCCTTTCAGGGCTGAGCCCCGCGCTTTGCTCGGAGCAGAAACAAAGAGTAGCCGGATCTGCCTCCTGGGCCGCCTCTTCGTCCCCTCGGCCTGGAAGGCATCCCAGAAAGGCCCCCGTCCCATCCCCCGGAGACCCGGAGGGAAGAAGAGCTGCGGGCCCAGTGGGTTGCGCCGCTGCTCGGCCTGCGCGCCTCCTCCTGCGCAGAGGGGGTCGGGGTGGGGCGCGCGGGCGGGAGGGACCCTGGCACGGAGGGGTGCTCCGTGAGGCCGAGGAATGGTGGGGATCACTGCGTGCACGGACCGTCTGGAAGAATCGGGGAGGGCCGCCGCTCCTCCCCATCTGCCTGGCTGCGAAACTTGGCCGTGCGGTCCGCGCGCGCGCTGCCGGCGGAAGGGGCCGCCCAGAGCCTTTCAGCCGCGCCTTCGGGGTTCTCTCCTCCCGCCAAGTCCTTTGTCTGGAAGGGGACTGTCAGCTCGGCCGTGGTTTGCCTCCTCCTTCCCCCAACCTCTACCCCCTCCGCTAACTGCCCTTTCTTCCCTTCGCTTTTCTCTCCTCCTTGGATGGGTAATCACAGGCTCCAGCTGCCAAGCGCACTGCGAGGAGTTGCTGCCCCGTTTCTGTGCCTGCGGCCCCTCCCAGCGGCAGACCGGCCGCTTCCCCCCAACCTCGCCGGGACCCCTGGCCCCTGCCCTCTGGCGTCACTTAGTGGCCAGGGACGCTGCATCGGACTTTTCCCTTTAGGCCAAAACTTTGTCCTGAGGTTTTTGGTAGCTTTAGTCTCCCACTCCTAGCAACAAAATGTGAGTCCTGGAAGCTGGCATTTCTTTGGATTCAAGCAGTAGGGGGGACATGGCAGAATCATGGAGCTCCCAGGCCAGTACCCCTTTTCTATTACTACAAGTAAGGTGCCCCCAATAAACCACTTACATTACAATTCAGAAGTCTCAGATTATACCTTCCCATGCTAAAACATCTGGATGAAAGTTGGGAAAATCTCAATCTGTCAAATGAATGATGAATATGCTGGCTTCCAAACATCTGTTCCTTCGGGGAAAGGCTGGAGCCCGCAAAGAAGCAGTGGGCTGAGCTTGCTGTCGGGTGCCCTGAGGTCTGTGCTTCCACACTGGAGCTCGGTCAGCTCAGGTTTCAGGGTTGTTGTTGTTTTTTTTTTCATGCAGTCACATAACGTCGCCCAGCACAGAAAGTAGAGCCCTACAGTAAAGGTACAGTTTTGTAACTGCCCCCATCCCAACTCAGCCATTCATCTCTCCAATAGCAAGAAAACCTACCTAATGGGCTTCCCCATAGAGTTTTTCATGAGGGAAAATGAGCCTAAAGCGCCTGGCCCAGAACAGGGCTCGGCAAGTGAGAGGTTACCTTTCCACTTGGCAATGACCTGTGCTGGACTCGGGCTGTGGAGGCCACAAACCTGGTACCAGCTTCTGGTAGAGCACTTAGCCTTCCTGGCTCCCACCCCCTAAAGCGGCCTCTATAGAGTTTAGGGAAAGGAAAAGAGGAAATCGTGACTAGGGGAGACAATCACTGCTGTGCGTGCTTTGTCATGGCAGGGCTCGGACATCATGCACGCATCCTTACCTCAGGATTTCCCCCCACATTGTTCTTGACCACAATATAAATAAGATGCTGCACCTGGGCTTTCCACAGAAGCCCAGTAACATCACACACCGCTCCATTTCCCGTTCCCATCCATAGTCACTGCGCTTGGCAGCATCATCCCATCGCCCCGAACCCGATTTGACT